TTGGACTACTTATAATGTCAAGATGCCCATAAAAAGATGGTCAAACTCATCACAAAGATCATTACAGGCAAAGCTAGTCATTTGATGATCCCATCATTTTGTATTTATTTCAGTCAAATGGCTTTTACAGTCACATGATGTGAAACCATTATAATCTGACAGCCTTCATTTAAATGTGATGTTCCTGAATGAGAAAGTGATTGAGCACACAGGAAGTCATGTCAAGCTTTACAAAAAATATTTCACATAATTTGAAAGAAAATTTGTAAATACAGGAAAAAGAAATTCATTAAAGTTTTCTGAAAACATTCCTAGTGTTGAGCTCAATCAATAGATTACATGTAAAACATGAAAAAGATTTTCTTTGTTGAGATAGATTGTCAGTCGTAACCAGCTGTGTATTGTACATGTAAAGTGAAAGTATGTTCCTCCAATCCATATATCATATGCTGCTTCAAAGAAACCATCTGTGTACACAGAAACAAGAATATCAACATTTTTGAAGTTGATGATTAATCTAGATGCTACAGTCGATCAGTACAAGCTGTAATCTCAATACAATGGGTTGTAAGAGAAAAAAAGAGTCTAGTTTTATTGTGAGTCTATCAGACCACACAGCGCAGTAAAGGAAGGAGTTAACCGCCTGTGATAGTTATCTCTCTCCAACCTTTGATCTGCTGCGATAATATTTACATATTCCCCCTCATCAAGGTATTTTTTCCGCTTCAGTAGCCAAGACCTGCGTTTGACCTGTATTCTAATAAGCATATACAGATTGACTGAGAGAAGCATGTCTACAGGAGTACATCCTCCAACCTTGATGGCCATCAGAATATGATTTCTACAATTTTAACAATTGTTTTCTGTATCTATCAAGAAATTATATGTTTCATACAAATTGACAACAGAGGAAGTAATAGAATCTACAGAGAGAGAAACTGAGAAAGAGATTGAAAGATCTCAACCTGAAGAGTAAGATTCTGAAACATATAAACAAATTAGGCTTTGAGAACGTTTCATTTGTTGGCTTATAATAATCTTATCCCGTGGGTCGAGATCCCCCGTCTCACTCACAGGGGTGAATGCTATTGGATCATATATGTCTAATATGTCAACATTTCATATGAATGCAGGACTCAATCACTGATGTGATGTTATGGGATGTTGATATGTGACTTTGTTGATGCAATGTTATTGATGTGAAATCATGTCAGTTAAGTATTCCAACATTAGCTATCAAAATCACCCTGGCTATTGGACAATATATTTATTTATTAAAGAAGTTTTATGTCCACTTATACTGCTTTTTGACCTTCAGCTGACAAACAAAACAGAGATATGACACTATTTAAATGATCCTGGTATCATAACTAACAAAGGTTCTTGACTTTGAAGTCAGTGTGGAACAGATGGTCAAGATATTAACTTTTTTTTATTCCAACCACAAAAACATGTTTAAATAGTACTGTTAACTTGAAACAAGCTGAGGGTCAGACAGAGGTCACCTCATACAGAAGTCTACTGTATTTTTCCTGTAATATGCCAAGGATTTGGCACGATATAAAAATTTTATTCCAAGTCACAGGTGGCTTATTACAGGACTCCAGAGGATACACAAAAATTCTTACTCCATGTCAGAGTGTGGGCTTATTCTTACTCCATGTCAGAGTGTGGGCTTATTCTTACTCCATGTCAGAGTGTGGGCTTATTCTTACTCCATGTCAGAGTGTGGGCTTATTCTTACTCCATGTCAGAGTGTGGGCTTATTACAAGACCATCAGGAGTCCAACACAGAAATTCTGACTCCAAGTCAGGTGGTGGGCTTATTACAGGTCAATGAAATAGCACTTGTTTGTGATAGTATACATATTTTGGTCCTGTAAAAAAAATCAAGGAATGGCAAAAATTTTAGAGAAAATACTAAAAGATCATGAATCCTATTTCAATCATAAACAGTTGAGCCTTTGATAATTTACATACTGGTTCTTTAGTGACTTACTAATATATATATACAGACCTCGTAATATATGACATCAGGGCCAAATGAGGGACCTGTCTATATTTCTCACCTCCTTAAAAATTAGCAACCTCTTTACTGTGCTCATATTTACTAAGAACCCTCCCAATAAAATGCTAATCATCCTGTTGGAAGGCTACATACAGGAGCCTTATGTTACCCATCTGTTCACAAGCTATAATGGCATGTCAAAATATTTGTAGCCAGAAAATGGGCCATCAGTTAAGTCGTGAGGGTGAAGGTGGAGTTGGAAAGCCAAAGGTATTACCAAAACCTGTGTTTGAAGTGGTACAGAAAAGAGTTACACACTGGTAAATAGTTGTCTAAGACATCCTCAACACCTCGTAAAGCATTTATATGCTCTCCATACATAACTAGGATACTGGCTGATTTCCCATGGAACTACTAACCCTGATCTAACAGCATTCAAGTTCCCAACTTATAGTGTCATCCAGCTATTTTATTATACTATCAACAGTTTTAGACTAGCTTGCCTGTATCTTACGAGAAGATCTTAAGCCATTAGTGGTTCATGTCTCTTACAACTAGTCCCTATGTATCTAAAACAAGTTGTCATCAACATGCTCTCAAACAACAAACCTGGTACTAGCCCTAGAGTTCCCTAACAACTAGACCTGATTCTGGTCCTAGAGTTCCCTAACACCTAGACCTGATACTAGCCCTAAAGTTCCCAAACAACTAGACCTGAGTTTGGCCCTGAAGTTCCCTCACCACTAGACCTGATTCTATCTCTAGAGTTCCCTAACAACTAGACCTGAGTTTGGCCCTGAAGTTCCCTCACCACTAGACCTGATTCTATCTCTAGAGTTCCCTAACAACTAGACCTGATTCTAGCCCTAGAGTTCCCTAACAACTAGACATGATCCTATTTTGAGGCCTAAGTTCTCTAACATTGAGCTCTGATTCTAGTCGTTATTTCAGTCTTCAACTTCCCTAGCACCTAGATTAGATTCTGTCTTAGTCCTGGAAAAAGAATAGCTTGCTTGTATCTGCCTGATTAGAACATTTAGGATAAGCTATCTCTTGGAATTGATATGTATTCTGTATGAGGTTGATAAACTTGCCACTTGGCAGGAGAAGATGTTTTTTTGTATACTGCAATTATATCTGTTAACACATCCACTCACAAAACATAACAATGCACTCTTCAATATAAATATGTCTGTCAACATCTGTACAGGTCTGAAACATATTCCTATTTATAGATTATTGTTATAAAGGGCATTTCAATATAAAACACACTATGTATATATTGTTTCAGTAAATACAATGACCTGCTGTAAAACACAGGTTACAGTATGATTCCCTTTAATTTCCCCCCACACACTCACTCACAAAAGTGAGCCCTTCAAATATGTAAAATACTGAAAATCATAAATTTCTGAAGGGCCCAATTTTCATCGTTTTTGAAAATAAAAATATGATTTCATAGAAATTTGATTGCATGCATAAATTTATTTCAGTAAAGTTACTTTTGCTTATTTCAACAGTTTGCGGACAAATTAATTTGTGGATTAAGAACATCCACAAAATCACTGAAAATAAATTCCCCACAGAAATGAATTATTCTACAATATAATGTAAATTCATTAAAATGCTATTTCTCACTCTTTCTCTTGAAGACTAAACATGTTATCTAAATCAAATTCCACCTAAGAAGATATTTGTGCACTGTTTAAGAATCAAGAAACCCCATTTCTATCTCTACATATGTTTTGTGCTAGAAATAATTTCATCTTTTCTCTGATAATTAATCAATTGTTTATTGACCCTAAACTGAATTGATTAAATGTAAACACATGATTACAGCATTCATCAACATGGTTAAATTATTCTTAATTTATAAAATAACCCACCTGTTATTGAGTGTATTTACTGATTTAATTTATCAAATAACCCACCTGTTATTGAGTGAATTAACCTGTTATTAAGTGAATTCACTGATTTTTGAGTAGTAGTCACTGGTGTTATCACTTTGCAACCAGTTTCACAAAATCTCATGTAAAATGAAGACTCATTTTAAGATCCTATATATAGTACCAGGTATATATTTGTGTGTTAAATATCAAGGAGTGTTACCAATATTATTGTAATACACTTTAACATAAAACTGATCTTTTTTTCATTTTTACTGTTTATCTTAATAGCTAATGATATTTTTCATGTACCACTGACAACAATCATAATAACAGCCAAACAGTTAAGGTAAAGTAAGACATTAAATTAATCAACTGAAATACCACTAATTAAATATAAGTAAAATTTAATTAGAAAAAAAAAATTGTATTTGTCAACTACCTTATAGCTTACATAACATCCACAGAAAATCCAGCTGTAATCCTAAGATCTATACAATAGATCAACAGACTGCACATTCTACAGTACTTATAATCTCCTCCTTACATAGATCATGGTGTTAGATGCCCCATATTTTAGGGTAAATCTGTTGTTTTCATCTGAGAGATTATACCATACAACTAGTGCCCCAGAGTTTGCACTGTACCACTGATATCATAATCCAGTGATTACCTCCCTTGACAGACTCTCTACTGCTTTGTTTGATTTCATTATCCAACGTTTAATGTCATTATAGAAACCATTTCCATTTGTCATGTGGATTGATTAGTGTAAAGAACAATATGTCTACGGGTTATCTTTTATTCTATTGAATAAAACATTAATTCAGTGCACTGTTGTCTTTTTCATCATTCTGACAAATGCGTCTTATATCTAAAAACTTTGTACTCTAACACCCTGATCAGCATACCAGCTGTTTACATACTGTTATCAAATTAGGATTTATTGTTTGAATTACATGTTGAAATTCCAGACATGAAGTAAAGCTTGTAAATCCTCCTTCTATCAAGTTGTCTGTTAATACCAGCAAATATTTGTCAATTTTCTGCAGGAAAAATTCTTCACTGCATTGTATTATGAATGCTATCTTTTTTTCTATTGGTAGGTTACTGGCTGTTTGGACCAATCATCTGTGATCTTTATGTGACGGCCGATGTTCTCATGAGTACTTCATCCATACTTCATCTGTGTACAATTTCATTGGAAAGGTATATGGCTATACGATATCCATTAGCAACACGAAACAAATCAAAAACGGTGGTGATCCTAAAAATCATTCTAGTGTGGGTCATCGCCCTGGCTATCTCTAGTCCAATCACAATTCTAGGATTTATAGAACAGTCCAATGTGTTGAATGACAAACAGTGTATGTTGACCAATCAGAACTTTATCATATATGGGTCCATATGCGCTTTCTTTATCCCACTGACAATAATGGTAATTTCCTACAGCTTCACACTATATCTCCTCATTGGACAGTGTAACAAGTCAAAATCAGGACAAGCAGAGGGTCAACCGATGATACGACGCTCACTTAGTCGTAAACCTAACAAACAACGTCCACGGGTAAAGTTCTCGGCAAGGCGGACACGAAGCTGTCCAGAAGAGGACCAAGAGTGCAGTCAAGATACCACACCTATCATACAGCGCAAACCTCTCATTAAGTCAAGCATTTCATTCCCTCTTCATAGTCATCATCGTCAGCATAATCAAAATTCCAGTGGCCACCCTGGGGTTAGTCGTCAGGGGGACGGGCGAGGGGAAGGACGAGGAGATGGAAGAGTGGAAGGTCGGCGAATGCTGAATGTGAGAACAGAAGAAGTTCCATCGTCTAATAGTAATAGTCCTAATAACACCTTATGGACAAGAGAGACATCACCCAACCCAGGTTCTAATGGTGGCAGTGCTTCCCCTCTGTGGACACGTGGTGCCCAGCCAACAGGTACCACCTCACTTCAAGGGCTTGTAAAAAAGCATCAATTAGTGATCAAGGCAGCTAGCATACTGCTGATGAAAAAGGAAGCCATACAGAAAGAAAACGATGTACATACAGAAGAGAAAGCCTCGAAGGTCATTGGGGTTGTGTTTATTCTGTTTGTGGTGTGCTGGGCACCTTTCTTCATTGTTAACATCCTAACTGTGCTGTGCAGATCATGTGATTTTGACAACAACCTAATAGCAGCATTTGTTTGGCTCGGTTGGGTGTCAAGCACGCTCAATCCCATCATATACACCATGTTCAACAACACCTTCAAAATGACTTTCAAAAAACTGATTATGTGTCGTTATGATACGTTACAACGTGGTAAAAGAGTGCGAAGCTGGCTACTTAGCAATGGAAATGCTTATCATGTTAATGCTTCCAGTTCCAACAGTTTAGACACTCCCTGCTAGTGGTGTCATGTGATATTTATTTATAAACATTACCATGGATATTCTGAGGTTTGGAGATTTCATCAAACACAAAATATAAACACTTCAATGGGGAATGAAGTACTGTTAGATGTACAAAGATATATGTCGAGTTTCACTACATTTGTAAAGACATTAAGGTTATGCAAGGAAGCAATCAGAAGCCATTTTTGTGCACTTACAAATACTGACTTCAAAAGTCTGCATGTTTTCTTACATAGCTTACAGGGCACTCCCTCTAAAAGTATCTTTGGCTAAACAAGAAATAAAGGTATACACCGAAACTGAGATCAGCTCTGATCTGTTATATAGCTTTTTACATAATTAACTTCAGGTAGGTGTCAAAGAAAGTGTAAACCAAACTATGTCAAAAGAATGCCTTGAATTTTGTTACAGACCCCCCTCTTCCCAAATCATCATATCAATTTTAACACTTTCAATATGTACTTTGATTTTGTGATGTTAATCAATTACATAGTTATAACTCAGTGGTGTCCTCATTCTATTAAACCATCCTCCAAGTCAGTGTGCTCTCTACCATTATACAGCAAGTCTGATGGTGTTAAACACTCTCCCCCACTCAGTGATGTGATGTTTCTGTAGGACACTCTCCCACTCAGTGATGTGATGTTTCTGTAGGACACTCTCCCCCACTCAGTGATGTGATGTTTCTGTAGGACACTCTCCCACTCAGTGATGTGATGTTTCTGTAGGACACTCCCCCACTCAGTGATGTGATGTTTCTGTAGGACACTCTCCCACTCAGTGATGTGATGTTTCTGTAGGACACTCTCCCACTCAGTGATGTGATGTTTCTGTAGGACACTCCCCCACTCAGTGATGTGATGTTTCTGTAGGACACTCTCCCACTCAGTGATGTGATGTTTCTGTAGGACACTCCCCCACTCAGTGATGTGATGTTTCTGTAGGACACTCCCCCACTCAGTGATGTGATGTTTCTGTAGGACACTCTCCCACTCAGTGATGTGATGTTTCTGTAGGACACTCTCCCACTCAGTGATGTGATGTTTCTGTAGGACACTCTCCCACTCAGTGATGTGATGTTTCTGTAGGACACTCTCCCACTCAGTGATGTGATGTTTCTGTAGGACACTCTCCCACTCAGTGATGTGATGTTTCTGTAGGACACTCTCCCATTCAGTGATGTGATGTTTCTGTAGGACACTCTCCCACTCAGTGATGTGATGATTCTGTAGGACACTCTCCCACTCAGTGATGTGATGTTTCTGTAGGACACTCTCCCACTCAGTGATGTGATGTTTCTGTAGGACACTCTCCCACTCAGTGATGTGATGTTTCTGTAGGACACTCTCCCACTCAGTGATGTGATGTTTCTGTAGGACACTCTCCCACTCAGTGATGTGATGTTTCTGTAGGACACTCTCCCACTCAGTGATGTGATGATTCTGTAGGACACTCTCCCACTCAGTGATGTGATGTTTCTGTAGGACACTCTCTCACTCAGTGATGTGATGATTCTGTAGGACACTCTCCCATTCAGTGATGTGATGTTTCTGTAGGACACTCTCCCACATAGTGGTATGATGTTTCTGTAGAACACCCTCCCACTCAGTGATCCGATGATTTTGTGGAACCTTTCCCCACTCACTAGAACAATGATTATATAGAATACACTCTAACTCAGTGATGCTATGTTATCACAGACCAACAAGCTTCCTTCCATCAACCTGGGCTCTATAAGTTATACAACTTGAGAATTATTAAGATAAACCAGTTGACATGGTAACAGATTACCCGAACCTACCTCAACCAATTTCAGATTAAAAATTGTCTTCTTTCCAGCTCTGCTAAATTCCCTCAATGCAATTATTTCACATTAAAAACATGATTGTGTATAAATTTAAAATCCTCAATTTGAGGGTTCAAACTTTCCAAAAATACCACTGAAATTACCACAGCACTCCCCTTTATAAAAACATTAATAAACGAATGAAAATTAATACCAAACCCCGATTGAAATATAAACAGGTAATTATCTATCTATAATTAACAAACTACAATCCCGTTGTATTATCAAATCTACGTTCTCAAAGAAAAGAACCATTTTCGTAAGAAGTAACCTTGGATGGAATAATAAGCCAGCCCCTTGGGCCTAAAATTTCACATTACATACAATCTCCCATGAAAGCGAAAATTCTGTTTAATTTGTTTACTAGATCGGCTTTTATTCAGACGTATAAGTCAAGGTAGAAATGAACAGTAGGTGATTGGTATAACCCAACCAGAATTACTCACAAAAATTGGCTTTTAATGTGTTTGGTTCATTTGGAAATAACTACCAGGCTGAAACTAAAGTGTTTTGATTGTGTTTTTAGGTACATATAGATTAAAGAGAGATCAGGCTCTAGCTATTACAGCAGAAGGGCATTTCTCCGTCACTAATAAATGCTATAGTAATAGCAATGTATCAGAGGTGAAATAATTGATATTGAAGCTCAGAAAATTTACGATGGAAATTAAATTCACTGGTGACAGAAATGGAAACAGTGCTTGTTAAGGATCAAAGAAAGGTTCTTGTGAGGATATGTTTTGTGAGTATTGTGTGTGATGTAATAACACCATCATGTGATATGTCCTCGTGCTAATATAATAATAAACCAAGTGGATACTCTATAGCATGTTTCTCTCTTTCTTAACCTAACAAAACCCCAATAATTAGTCAATTTTATAGCCATTCTCTGCAATACACACATTGTTTAATGATAACAAAATGGACAAAATGTGGAAATGTAAAAATAATTATACTACCAAACTTCAGCTATAACATGCACATGTCAGTGTTATCATTATACCACCTGACAACTCACTGAAACATTAAGGTACAAACAACAAACATTGATAAAGTAATTAAATAAATGGCTTTTTCTTTTGCTGCGTTTAATGCCCTGCAGTAGCCAGGGTGTCCTTGTAGAGTAACTGACGACAACTTCACTGAATACCAGGCAGTAGCCAGGGTGTCCTTGTAGAGTAACTGACGACAACTTCACCGAATACCCTGCAGTAGCCAGGGTGTCCTTGTAGAGTAACTGACGACAACTTCACTGAATACCAGGCAGTAACCAGGGTGTCCTTGTAGAGTAACTGATGACAACTTCACTGAATACCCTGCAGTAGCCAGGGTGTCCTTGGAGAGTAACTGATGACAACTTCACTGAATACCAGGCAGTAGCCAGGGTGTCCTTGTAGAGTAACTGACGACAACTTCACCGAATACCCTGCAGTAGCCAGGGTGTCCTTGTAGAGTAACTGATGACAACTTCACTGAATACCAGGCAGTAGCCAGGGTGTCCTTGTAGAGTAACTGACGACAACTTCACGGAATACCCTGCAGTAGCCAGGGTGTCCTTGGAGAGTAACTGATGACAACTTCACTGAATACCAGGCAGTAGCCAGGGTGTCCTTGTAGAGTAACTGACGACAACTTCACTGAATACCAGGCAGTAGCCAGGGTGTCCTTGGAGAGTAACTGACGACAACTTCACTGAATACCAGGCAGTAGCCAGGGTGTCCTTGTAGAGTAACTGACGACAACTTCACTGAATACCAGGCAGTAGCCAGGGTGTCCTTGTAGAGTAACTGACGACAACTTCACTGAATACCAGGCAGTAGCCAGGGTGTCCTTGGAGAGTAACTGACGACAACTTCACCGAATACCCTGCAGTAGCCAGGGTGTCCTTGTAGAGTAACTGACGACAACTTCACCGCATACCCTGCAGTAGCCAGGGTGTCCTTGGAGAGTAACTGACGACAACTTCATCGAATACCCTGCAGTAGCCAGGGTGTCCTTGGAGAGTAACTGACGACAACTTCACCGAATACCCTGCAGTAGCCAGGGTGTCCTTGTAGAGTAACTGACGACAACTTCACCGAATACCCTGCAGTAGCCAGGGTGTCCTTGTAGAGTAACTGACAACAACTTCACTGAATACCAGGCAGGAGGCCCACCATCTGCTACACAAACAACATGGGTGACGTGTTTCGACCCAGGACAGCATATAACAACCAAGAAGGGATCTAATTCCACACCTGGGAACCTGAGGGTACACCCTTCTGATGCCTCAACTATCCATGCCCCACTAATCAATATCCATAATTACGAGATGGAATCAGTGCATCATGAAATAATACATTGAAGTTACAGAATATGGGATCTGATTGGATTTAAGAAAGGAAAAGCTATCTCTCATCTTATGTGGCTCCGATGATCATAATGACAAGTTTCATAATCTCTGATATGACAACCTCTTTATCACTTGTTAATATATAAAGCAAGCATTGTGTAAAATACAACATGCATGTAAATAGAGTATCACAGGATAACCAATAGCAATTGACTTATAACTTTAAAGTCACAAAATTGCTGCAAATGTCGCCTCAGGCATCAAGTTTCATGTTAAATACCCATCACCATGGTTGGAAACTCAACATTTGAAAATTGACATTAAATTATGGAAATTAATATGTGAAAACTTCCAGTTCTTCAATCTTTACAACTAATGACTTTACCATGTGTATGCTGGTTCAAATCAAAACACACAGAAGCCAGACTAATACTGTAACGATGAATTCTCCATACTGGCGCTGATAGGTAACTTCTGACCCAGATCAAAAGCATTGGATAAATGACTCCCTGAGGAGGGCACATTCCCAATGCACATTAATGCACTAGCTAACTCACTTTGATCTGTGTGTAAAGATGACATGCTGCAGATTTGTGTACTTTTAAACTCAGGCTGTACCTATCAGGAAAACCAATACAGCATGGGGGAAAATTTAGCTGAATTAATCTGTTAAACAACACAGGAAGAGAATGATGATATTGATTGCTTAAATACTTCATGACAGACTAACTCTTGGTGCAGATCTCTCTAAAATCCATATCACACCAACTCTTGGTGCAGATCTCTCTAAAATCCCTATCACACTAACTCTTGGTGCAG